AGAGTGCGACGGAAAAATAAGTGGCACTCTCGTTTAGTCCTATTTAGGATAATTACTTGTTAAAATACCTTATCAGTGGCTCTCCATGGTATCGGCATCATGAACAACAACATTAGATTGATGTCAAACAAGGACAATTAAAATAAGGAAGGAAAGACGGTTCTTTATCTGGTGTTTGAATATATGGATATGGACCTGAAGACGGTTCTTTACCAGCTTTACAAAGGAATGGCTTTCTGCCATGGCCATGGTGTTTTGCACAGAGATTTGAAGCCCCACAATCTTCTGATGGACTGCAAGACATCAATGCTTAAAATTGCTGATCTGGGGCTTGCCCGAGCATTCACTTTGCCTATGAAGAAGTACACTCATGAGATATTGACCCTCTGGTATAGAGCTCCTGAGGTTCTTCTGGGTGCCACTCACTATGCAACAGCAGTTGATATGTGGTCTGTTGGTTGCATATTCGCTGAGCTAATCACTCAACATGCTCTCTTTCCTGGAGATTCTAAGTTGCAGCAGCTACTGCACATTTTCAGATTGCTGGGTACACCAAATGAAGAAGTATGGCCAGGGGTGAGCAAGTTGGTGAACTGGCATGAATACCCCCATTGGAAACCCCAACCACTTTCATCTGTTGTCCTAATCAAGATGGCCTTAACCTTCTGGCGGAGATGCTGCATTATGAACCATCAACAAGAATTTCATCAAAGAAAGCTATATATGGAGCATCGTTATTTTGATGATCTTGACAACAAGTCGAGTCTGTAGCCTGTAGGGGGTGAGCAAATAACTGACAAAACCGATAAAACCGAAAACCGATATCCGAACCGACCGAAAAAGTCGGTTATCGGTCGGTCATCGGTTATTACATATTAAAAGAAGTCGGTTATTCGGTTAACGGTCGGTTATTATAATCGGTTATCGGTCGGTTAACCGAAAATCGAAGTATAGTCTACACCGTATAAACATTTGCATGTACTTCATGTATGCTATGATGTTTCACTTAATAACATATCATAAATACTCTAAGAAATAATGTCAAATATATGACCAAATTGAATTTTATGGATACATATACGGAGTATGCCTTTTCATACTTTAATAACTAATTGTAATTTTAATGTGCATAATTGTGTTCAATTTTATACTCCCTCCGTCCCACTATGATTGTCTCATTTTACTTTTTCGGTCTGTCCCACTAAGATTGTCTCATACCTTATTTGGTAAAGTTTGTGTGGTTCTAAATCATTTCTACTTTATTCTTACTTTATCAATTCAATATCAACCACATAAACCCACTTTTATTAATAACCGTGCCACCTTTTCTTGTCCCAAACTTAGGGGGACGGAGGTAGTATTATACTCCGTAGTAATCATGAATGGTATACTCATGTTAACTTTAGTCATATTTAAGTTTACTTTATTATGTAGTACGATAGTAATATTTAAGGATATCCCTCGTGTTGTAATAAATTTCATGTATTTAGGATGTTTTTAATTACTTGGACAGTAATTTGTTGGTCTGATCTGGTTTCTTTGTATTCTATAAATATTCATGTCTGATCTGGGACAAATTACAGTTCAAGTAAAAACATCCTTAGTATTTAGTGGTTGACCCAAAAAGATAAAATGACACTCATGCACAAGTAAAGCTACCAGCAGCGTAAGAAAACTAATTTTATTATTAGATAATTTAATTCATTTTTTCTTATTTATTTCATGAATGGATAAAAAGCATTTATATGTGAGCAATTATTTCATTCATTTGGTTTTGTAGTGTAAAAATATCAATTATTTTCATCCAACTTTGTATCAAATATTTTTTCTAATATGTTTATTTAAAGCATTCAAAATTTTCAAAAAAATATGCTTAAAAAATTTATATGGTCGGTTATTGTCGGTTATTCGGTTATCGACCGAAATCAAACTACATTTTCCGGTCGATTATAATGATGTTATCAGTCGGTTTTCGGTCGGTTATTAGAGTGAAAAAGCTTGGTCAGTTATTCGGTTATGGACCCGATGATGACCCCTACTTAGGGGTGCAAATGAGCCGAGCCGCTCGTGAGCCGCTCGTGAGCCGCTCGGTCAAAGCTCGGATCGAGATCGGTCAAACTCGAGCTCGAGCCGAGCTCGAGCCGGCTCGTTAAGCAGTCGAGCCATAAACGAGCCTACTGATTTTAGGCTCGCTAGCTCGCGAGCCGGCTCGCGAGCCTAGTTATATGTGTATTTAATTAATATATGTAATATATTAATATACTATACAAATTAATATATAATACGGAGTATATATTAGTATATGTAATATACGAAGTATAATATAAATTATTTTTTTTATAAGTTAATATATATATATATATATATATATGTATATATATATATATATATATAATACTGATTCATAAATGTATATGAACACCTGGGAGATATTATTAATTATAAAGTAATTTAACAAAAATAATCAAAATTTCATCCACTATTTCTTAATGAGTTGACCACTTTTGATTTATATTAGAACTTAGAAGTACAATTGGGTAGAGACTTGAAGTTAGAATTATATTTTGTTTATTTTCCCGTAAGGTTTAGTTGTTGGGCATGTAAATTGCAATTTGCAAATGTTAAGCACAAATATTTAAAGATTGTTTCATACTTGAGCTCGAGTTCGAACACGAACTTTCGAGCTAATCGAACTTGTAACTTTTGAACGAACCAAAAGTATCTAGCCGAACCGAGCCGAGTCGAGCCAAATCGAGTCAAATCAATATTTGCGAGCCGAGCTCGAGCCCAGATATTTTAAGCTCGTTCGAGCCGAGCTCGAGCTCGAGCCAATACAATATAATTCGAGCTCGAGCTCGAGCCTACATAAACTCGGGCTCGGCTCGGCTCGTTTGCACCCCTACCCCTACTCTTTGAGGCAAATTTCAATTTGTCATCAAACATCTTGAACTTTGAAGCGCGTCTGCTTGACGGCCTTTAAATTTAGACCACCTGCATTATTAACTCTTTTTATATGTAATGATAATGATAAAAGAAGGTTATTGGTTAGAGCATCTCCAATGGTAAAATGTGCACGGTGCACACGTGGCATGAGAAATAGCCACATAAATATTAATAAATAAATTCTTTCTCTCCTTATTTGAATGATTTTATACAGTTTTGGTAAGTTTTTCTCTACAATGTCAAGGAGACCGTCTAGATGTTGACATTGTTGTTGACATTGCAGGGAAAAACTTACCAAAATTGTATAAAATCATTCAAATAAAGAGAGTAATAATTTATTTGCTAATATTTATGTGGCTATCACTCATGCCACATGTGCACCGTGCACATTATAGCATTGGAGATGCTCTTATTCAAGGGGCATCAAGAAAGAACTGAAATGGTGAAGGCTTGGGATTTGTGAAGTGAGCATTTATTTGACACATTTCCTTCTCCAATAAAAAAAAATACTTGCACTAACTTCCAATATTACAAGATAAATTGTATTCAAGAAATTTACAAACATTTTTGCCTTATCCCAATTTTCCTTTGTTGGTGGGCCAACTCTCCCTTTTCTCACCACTTCTTCCCCATCTTCGTTGATAATCCCCCCCCCCCCTCCCTCCCCAAAGAATAGTATATATTGGACTAATCATATTCATACATTCTTTCAAAAGCATTTTTAAAATTCAAACAAGAATCAAGTATCATGTCATTTGTCATTCATGTGTGTGCTATTTCACCCAGTGATCCATAACAATTAGTTCCCTACTATCCAACTCCTCATTCTCCAAATATTTTGTTTGAAGTAACTCAATAAGTGACCTCCGTGGACTTATCTTTCAAAGATCACAACATTTCTATGAGTCACCAGACACATATCTAATTTTTCAACCCATCTTCCATAACCAAGTTTAAAATACGAGTGATACATCTCACATGCATAAAACTTCCCATTCTATCGATCAATGGTTGGTTGACCCCCTTTAGCGTTGAAAACGATTTTTGATAAATAGTTGTTCGCTCCTAGCGTTTTTGGATGAAATCGCTAAAATGGAAACGCTACAAATAGGAGAGAGATTTGGATTAAGTTTTGAAATATGACGTTTTCTACTTATTGCATGTTATGACCAAACAGCTAAACTTACATTTTTGAATGACAGATTCAGCGGCTACTTTATTAGCATATTTGCATCATCTAAAAATATTATAATTATGAATATGGGTTATTATCCCTAATTTGTGTCAATTTTTTATGCATAAAGGCTTGTACATTCACCGCGTAAGGGGCAAAGAAAGCAGAAAAACACCTAAAGAAATCGAAAAACATCACAATAAGGGGCAAAGAAAGCAGAAAAAAGGATTGACAACGAGAGAGTAATTACCAGAACACAGTTCAGCGAGAAACGGAGAACCGGAAAGGAAAGATATCTGTACGGTTGGCACCACAAGCGGGAACAATGGGCAGGTCGGCAACGTTAGGGCGCGGAGTCGCGGACGGGCCAGCTGTGTGACCGCAAGTTTAAGGAAACGGAAGGTGTTACGATGATAACGGAGGCAGATGGATTGGAGAGGGCAATTGGACGGAAATAAAACGGATAATTCTATTTCTTTTAACAGAGTACATATGGTAAAACACATGGTATCATCTCATTAAGCTAAAAGATTACACCAACATTTTTTTCATCCCTAAAATACCCTAACCCTCATTGACAATTATAAGATTTTAAGATTAAGAAACTACATCTTTGTAATTTATACTTAGTGCTTTATGAAATACTCCATAATTATATATTCATGATTAAAATAAAAATTATATATAAAAATGTGACTAGGGTAGAGAGTATTAATGTAATCATGGTAATTTATGTTAAAATTTTAAACTTAATTTATGATGACACTACATTGCAATAACTATTACTCATATTTATATAAATAATTTTTATTTTGATAATATTTTTGAAAAAAAAAACTACTCCCTACTTTATACACAAAGGTCCATAAGTGAAGGATCGGCCAGAATTTACCAAACGTAAAAACACGTCCAAAACAAACACCAGCTTCATTCTTCCAAATAAAAAATCAAAAGCTCTAAATTCTTTCGCTGGGTTGTAACCTGCAAACAAAGTGTTTGGCTAAACGCCCTTTATTTACTGTGTGTACCTTTTCCACTGCAAACAAAGGTTAGAATACACCTATTTTCTGGTAATATTCCATTCATGGCTAGATTCTATGCGTTTAGGTTTCCTCTTTCTGAAACAGATATTCATGTTTTTTGGGTGAAGGGTAGGTGTTATTAAGTGGTTTATGTAGGTTAAGAATGTCCAAAAACTCCAAAAGTGCTATTTCAGACTGCTGGAAATTAGAATTAGACTTAGATAAATATCATCTTTAAGAAAAAGAGTTGGCCTACATTCTATTCATTTAGCGTTTCACTCTCTGCAAATAATTCACTTCTACAATAAGCCTTCTAATAAGTTGAAAAGATCTGTAAAATGTGAATTCTACTACTTCAATATTTAATTTTGCATTTAAGTATTCTTTAAAATACAAAATTTTCGGATTGACATGGGAAGAACTTATCACACATCTGTTTTCTAAACTGTGAAATAAACACACCTTCACACTCAGGGGAGAAAGCTAGCGACCAATTATAGTTAGGGGATGTGGAAATTAGATTCAAAACTTCTTCATCTTCGTAATTTTGTCACTTTAAACACATTTGCTATTGTTAATAAAAAGTCTGTTTCGTTCTTTGCAATTTTGCTGCTATTAGGATGTTTTCTTTTGGACTGAAATTTGCTGGTCTGGTCTGGTCTGATTAAGTCTGGTCTGGTCTGAACTCTGAACTGGTCTGGTCTGGTCTGGTAAACGTCTGGTCTCTGTGTATTTTATAACTATCCAAGTCTGGTCTGGTCTGTTTAAGTCTAGTCTGGTCTGGTCTGGGACAGAAAACAGTCCAAAAGAAAACATCCTTAATCGTTGTAGACTTAGAAATTTGCAACTTTGTTGTTTCAATTTTCTTGTTGTCGCTATTTCGTATTTTGCATTTTTTAGGTCTAGTAATATATTTCATGGAACTTCAGGCACTGAGTCACACATTACAGGTTACAAGTTTACAACTTGTTAATACGTTGTATATATTAGGTGGAGTTAATACGTTGTATATATTAGGTGGAGTAAATTTCTTTCACACATTTTTTATTTGTTGTATATTTTTCTTATGTTAACTAATTTAATTATTATGTTTTAATTGGATTGATTATAAATTACTATTAGCTACCAATTTAAGTAACTATATATAGCCGTTAAGGTAATTCTGATTGCTCTGTGTTACTTTGTGAAGTTTTCTTTGACCACCATCACACCATGTATCAAAATCATCAAGATTTTTTTTGGTGAAGATCGTGACACCTCACTTAAAGCTCATGACTTGCAGGTATTCATAACGCCAAGGGATGGAGTTCACAACTTGTCTTAAATCCAACTTTAACCAACTATCAACTTTTCTACACCAACCGATTAATCGCCAGAACACTCACTATCGCCGTTTTTTAGCTTCGCTCTACACTATGACTGCTAAATCTATGCACTGCAGAGCCACTGCCGAAATGCAAAGCAAGAGCGGCTCATTTGGAACCATCGAAAAGGTAGTACCTCTAATAATCGTACCCAACATGTACTCTGATTTTTTTTGAGTACTCGACCTTAATATTACAGAAGTTAAATATACGTTTTTTTTCATCTTATTTATATTATTTTGATAAATGTCACCATTTTACTTGCTCAATTGTAAATTTACTACTTGAACACTTCTGTAAATTAGGGAATATGAATATGATGTGCAGGTGAAATTTTTATTTAAGACATGCTCGTATAGAGCAACGTTAAAATCACCCTCAAATTGATGAAGCTATCTACTTTCAGCACTTAATATAGTTGCTTCAAAAAGTGTTCTTTTTTTAACCAGGTCAAACCAATCTCTGGTGATCATTCCTCTGATCTGGCATTATCAAGTTTAGCAGCTCTATGCCCATTAGATGGCCGCTATTGGGATAAAGTTAAGGATCTGGTTCCATTCATGAGCGAGTATGGCCTCATTCGCTTTCGAGTCCTAGTTGAGGTGTTCCACACTTCCACTTTCTTCGATTGTTTTTGAGTGTTCTGTTCTATGCATGAATGCATGATTGATGAACATTGATGTATGCGTGATAATAATACAAAAGAGTAGTGTAAAAGAGTTAATAGAAAATAAAGAATAAAGAAAAACATCAGCATTGCTTTTTCAAATATGAAGTAATGTTTGCTGTAAGCCTGTAACTTTCTTTGTTAACATAATACATTCCATCCTTCCAGAAAAAGGCAGTTGTACAGTGCAATTCTACCCTTTTAAACTTGAAAAGTTGTACTTTGGTGAAATGTGCCTCTCTTTTTATGGTCTCGAGTTGGTAATCTTAACAATTGGATGACAAAATCATAAAATATGCTTCTCTTTTTAATGCCTGGGCTGCAAGTATGATTACTTCTATATGATACCTTTAACCTCTTTATTGAGACTTTTTATACACAAATGTGGTTCAATTTATTACCAAACTTCAAATTTTGTTCATTCACGAAGTGTTTGCACCACAACCATTATCTTTTGCAGTAGCTTTTTGTCTTCGCTGTAGGCTATGTTTGGATGACCATCTCAAAATGAGTTGAAATTTGATAGATCTAGACATTTAATTGACATATACACTTATTTGGATGAAGAGCTGAACTTGATAGGATCTAAAACAAATCTGCTGATTTGAAATGTTATCAATTGTAGTGTTTCAGTTCAGCCCTTTAATTTACCACTAGCTTATAGCAACTTTACCCTCCCGTTATTCAAATTTATCTTGATTATATTAAAATATTTATATTTATGGGGTAATCTTAAATTTTTAGTCGCTATTTCAGTTGTGTAGTCAAACAAATCTACTTCATTCAACTAGCATTTCAGTTTCAGAATATTCGGACAATAGACTCAAGCTTCAGCTCGTTTTTCCAAACATTGCCATAGTCTATATTCTATAAGCATTTCACTTTTAATGTTCTTATAAAAAGTACACTTATCTTCATTGTTGTTATCAGGTTAAATGGTTGCTAAAGCTTTCAGAAATTCCTGAAATCCCTGAAGTTCCTAGTTTTTCTTTGGGAGCAAAATCTTATCTGCATGGCTTGATTGATGGATTTAGCTTGAATGATGCAATGGAAGTCAAGGAAATTGAGAAAGTAACTAACCATGATGTTAAAGCAGTGGAGTATTTTCTTAAACAAAGATGCCAATCACATGGAGAAATTGCTAAGGTACATTAAGTTGTTACATGGTTTTATGTGTGTATGTGATAGGAGCGTGTTTCACTCTTAATATTGTTGTTGTTGTTGTTGTTGTTGTTATTATTATTATTATTATTATTATTACAGAGTATTATTGTTATTATTATTACTAGTTTCTTCATCTTATTATTATTAGTAGTGGTTTCCTATTGGTATATTTATTCTAGTTTAGTTCATATTCTTAATAACAAAATTCAAATAGGTTTAAATTTCCTCTAATACTGGTCTACCAGGACTCTTGGAACTAGTAACCTAGTATAAATTGAGGTGCTCCATTCGTTACTAATAAGATCAATAATGTTGGATTCATTCCTTGAGTCTTGACATGATTCGGACGTCACCGTCTCGTGCCTAGGGCAGAACAGTTCTTCATCTTATTAATTTCAGTTTTTATCTATCTCTCAACCACACCTCTAATAGTATGTGTGTGTGCGTGCATGTGTATGTACACACGTATATATGTATGTATGTGTATACACGTCTAAATACATAAATACACACGCACATAATATATGTATGCACACGCACAATTTAATGGATGTGTTATACAAATTTGGCATATCACTATCTACTATTTTCACAAATCTGATAGTTTTGCTTGATGACTGAACTTTTGCAACCTTCCAGTATATACCTGGGAAATAAAATTTGTATAATTTATATAAATTTAATTTCCTGCAGCTGTAATTTTTTTTTCCTCTGTATTGTATTCATATTCCTAGGTGCTTGAATTTTTCCATTTTGCGTGCACTTCTGAGGACATCAACAATCTAGCACATGCATTAATGCTAAAAGAAGCTATTAATAGTGTTATATTGCCAGCCATGGATGAGCTGATTACTGCAATCACTGACATAGCCACATATACTGCACATGTCCCAATGCTTTCTAGGACCCATGGGCAGGTAATCACTTTTGCGTCCATCCATTTTTACTGTGCTCATATTTTGTGGATTGTCTTAGATAACCTAAGCATTATAAAGATATTCAGTGTTCACTAAATCATGAAAAATATTCTG